AGGACTGGCATCTCGTTGACTTCCTTCTCTTTGGGTGACGACGATCGGCCGGAAATGCCGTTCGAGGACGTTTTCGGGTCTGTAACGGCCGCGCGCTTCGACGATCTCTCGCTGGTGCCACTGGCCTCTGCGAAAAGAGAAAAAAAATGCGCGAAGGTGATTACATAGGTACCGTATCCTTTGTTTAACTTGACTCGGCTGTTGTGTGCAATCTCCTGACGTGGACGACGGTGCGTCATCGTCCAGTGTCATCGTGTGTATGTGTGTGTGTGTGTGTGTGTGTATCGAATGTCATTGCTCCAGTATGCGGATTGCAAAACTTGGCGCACGGCTTCAGGCTGCGATAGCACTTTTTTAAATTAATAATCAATGTCGGTATATATCGCGCCACGAGAGCGATATATCTTTCGTTACTTGACAAAGTTGTGCCAATTAAGCACAGAATGTTTCGTATCGACTTTTTTTTCGCCAACCAGAGATTCACCGGAGAACGCTATCAAAATGTAAAGAGTATGCGCGTGATACTTTTTTCTTGTCTTTAAAAACTACGATTGCTTTAAATCAATCTGTCCTTTCCATGTGTATGTAGCCGGGATAGACGTCAATACACAAAATTCACTAATAACGATGAGTCATACTCGATTCCATGATTTAATGTTTTTTTTACGCAAGATTGCGCCAATTTGTGATAAGTCGAGTTCAAAAACACTCTACATGACGTAGATAGAGACATTCTGTATAGATATGTGTAAAATATTACGAGCATAGATTTTTACTGCTTTTTTGATAAATTCTACTTTCGCGACGCGATAATGTGCAGACAGTTGTTAGTCTCCCCCGACACTTTATCGAAACTTCATGTTGCACGAATGACAAAATCGACTATACAAAAATGCCAATTGCGAAAATACTTTGATTCATTTTGTTTTACATTTTCTCTTTAAAAAAAACAATTCTTCATTAATTAAAATTTTTTAATTATCAATTTTTCAACCAAATAAAAAAGTTTGTTAAAATCGTGCAATAATACACAAAAGTACGCAATAAATTTAAAAGCATTTCTTCACGCGAACTTGGTTTTATCAATACAAAAAAAAGTATAAAAACTATTCGAAAAATAAAAAAACACCCATCAAAAAACAGAAATCGTAAAGTTTTCGTCACTTTGTTTTTTTTGCGCACACGAACGATGTGCGCAACTGGAAAACGTCACTAAGAAAGTCAAATGAAAATTCCAAACAATAATAATTCGTTGTTTAATTCCAAACAAATTTCACGAAAAAAATCTCAAATTACTCCGCACCAAATTTTATGTCGCACTTGTCGCACCAATACCTGTCAAATTAAATCTCACTATAACCTAACTTTCCTAACTTTCAAGTTTTTCTCTCGTACGATATACGAAATATACGATTCTTACTAATAAAATTACTAGCTTAATTACTTTTAAGTATAAAAACCGAATTATTTTGTATGCGTAAAGTCGTGCGTTTAAATTTGTCAAACTTACCGGGCGACAACGATCTCTTGACGGGCGACGCTCTCGCTGCGCGATGGTTCACTGTTGACTGCGCCGCGCCGTCCAGACCGGCTGCCGATATCTTGGCGCTCATCCTCGCCCGCGAGGCCGACCGGCCCCCCCGATTCCGGCGATCCTGACTCACGTACCAGGAAGCTCACTTCGGAGGACGACGCATGCCGACGCGCCAAATCACGGACGGTCTCTCGCTACACGTAAATTGACTTTCACGACCTGTGAAAACACCCCGCGGTAGACGCAAATGTCGAATTTTTTTTTATAGACACAGAAACACGCGTCTTTGTGCGTCGAAACGAAACGATTAAAAAGTTTTTTTTTTTTTTTTTTTTTTTAGACGCGTTTATATAAACGTAGTTGGATCAATAAAGACACACGGAAAAAATGGAATATTTTATTCGATTCGACTTATTTAAAATTAATTGCAACTTATTTCTCGACGAGTCTCGAATCGAGCTAAGCGAGGTGCACGCGTTACTAATTCAAACCCTCTATCGAGAATAGAATTTTCTAGCTACGATAGATCGATGTGTTATTAAGAACGTGTGTCTTGGCGAGAAATGTAACAACGAAACGTCTTAAAAAAGTTATTTGAGAGTCGAATTTTTGAAAGAAAAATAAAATCATCACGCAAACGTTGGAACAATCGCGACTGTGTTTGTTGTTTTTCGCGTTGATTGTTCACGTGACCTTTTCGTCCTCTCAGACGCGCGTCTCAAACGACGAATGTGTGTAAAAATTGTTGTGAAAAATCACGAATACAATGCGCAAACGAACGGGAAGAGGAGGCGTTGACTTCTACGAAGGTGAGGCCTTGAGTAAAGAAGGAACAGGAACTCCCTCGGAGAGGAGCAGCGAGACCAAGGCGAGTCACAATTTCTCATTTTGTTTCCGCTCCGCGGCGCGGTTCGGTTTTGAAGCCGATAGACGCGGAAGGCGAGACCCTGGCTTCGGATGCGCGCGCGCGCGCGCATCCGTCCCTCTCGAATCCCTTCGAGATTCGAAAACACGTCTGAAAAACACGCGCGGCTTTGAATCCGCGGCTCCCGGTAAGAGCCAACGCTCGATATATCCTATGGGTGGTTTGCGGGGTTATCGGCGCTCCGAGAGAAGGAGAGTTTACGAGCGTGGTTTCTCCTCCCTTCCCCCCCCCCGTCCTCCCGCTACCCCTCGCGCGCGCACGATATACATATGTGTGTATTTAAATAGCATTCAGCCTCGAGGCTGAAAACGCAAGGCTGCGGCAAGGACTCTCGGCGACGTCATTATCGATGCACACGACCGAAAGAGAGAAAGACACACACGCGCGTGCACACACACACACACACCCGAGGTTTTCCTCGCCGCGCGAAATAATTCTATTTTAGCACGCTGAAGATAAAGTCGCGTACAATATGCGTGTTATCAAGTTACATCGCTAGTTGACAGATAAATACGCAAAATGTATCAAAAAAAGAGAAAGAGAGAGAGAGAGAGAGAGAAGGGAAAGAGACAGATGGAAATGTACTTTAAAAATGATCTCCGCGCAATAAACTCACGGAGAAAAAGATCTGAAACAAACGCACACATTTGACAAATTACCGAGATTTATATCTCGCATTTCCTTAATTTTTTTTTATTTCGTGATTTTATATTCCACTTGTTAAAAATCTGATTTTGTCTCTCTCTTTTTCTCTTACGTGCGAATTTGTTGCGTACATTATTCAGAATTTAGTGTTTACACATTCTTCGACGAATATCCATCCGTTGTTTGTTTGCATCTTCGTTTTCTCGCAAAAAGTTCCGGGGCACTCGGAAACTATCTCTCGCCCGCGAGCAAGTTTCGGAAACGTCGAGATACGCGCACAACAGCAGCCCCCGTCGACACCGTCGCCCAGAACACGACTGTGTCGAGCGTGTTGCCCGCAACGCGGCACTCCTCCCAACGTACGTTACACTGCGTTACAACGTGTCCTAGGTAACTCGCCTCCGGCGCCGTCGCCGAGCTGCAGCCGCGGATTCGCGGCTAACGTGCGCGCGCGCGAGCGAATCACGTGTATGGATCGATTTCTTTACCTGCGTCTAGGGGCAGAGTTTCTCAATATAAACCTTTTGCAAAATTTCTTGATACACGTACAGTTGTCCCAAAATTCGCGCGAGGAGAGATTACAACTTCTAATCGCGGAAGAGAGCTGGGAAAAGAGAAGAGATGAGGGAGAGATAATGTTCGGAGAAGCTGCAAAGATTAACAATATTTGTTTTTCTCTTCTCTCACAGAATTAATTTTCTGTAATAAAAAAAAGTAACAGAACTTGTGTACACTTCATTCATTTTGATTCATTTATACTTGTTCGATTTCACGGAGTGTTCGACGCTTTTATGTGAAAAAATAAAAAATAAAAAAACTTATTAAAAATCGCAGTACATTTTTCCGAACATGGGTATCACTGGCGAGCGCAACGCGATCCAATCTGCTTCCGTATTTAGCGAAAGCGCGTTTATTCCGTGGCATTACTTCACCCTTCTGTAGAATACATCGTATTTAGATTATATCGATTGCCGTCGCGCGCGTCATAGCTTGACCTAGTTGTAACACACGTCGAACGTATTTCATATATATATATTTTTATATGTATATATATATATATA